GAAGAAAAGGAGACCGATCGTTCTTTGCTATTATGGCGGGCACGATGAGAGGTACTGGGAGGGGGTTTGTTATGATTATTATCATTATTAGTGCGGTCGTGGGAAACGTTATTGGCTCGTCCAGAATTGGAAGCGGATCGATCTTTAGATTTGGAGCGAGATCGAGAGCGAGAACGTGCATTGGCAGCATTAGAATTGGAGCGATGAGGTTGATTAACATTAAATCGTTCTTTAAGTTTTGCAACAGGGTCGCGAGTGCGACTTCTACCTCTGGTTTGTTTGAGTGGGCAAAAATTTGGAGCACAACCTAATTTGCCACATCTGTGACAAAGTTTGTTAGTATTATCTGGGGAGGACCAGAAAAGCACTTTGCCTTGGAAGCTGACAGTCTGTTCCATAGCAGCATCCATGGTTTCTTGGGAATTGAAGGTGACATAAGCCCATCTTTTGGGCTTGTAAGAGTTTAGAGAAAGCGGCACATTGACAGCTTTAGCGCCAAGGCTACGAGTAAGGGGAGCCAAATTGATATCCTTAACATTGGGGGGAAGTTGGGTGAGGGTGGCAACGTATTGATTGCGCGCAGCCTTTTGATCCACAGTATAAGAACATGGAGTAATTCTGAGGCAGGTGGAGAAACAGTATACAGCCCATTGGTCGGTAAAACGAGCAATAGAATCGGCGTGATCATAAACAATGCGGGCTTGCTGAACTTTGGTATTAGGCCTGGAGAAAAGGCGGCAAGAGGTGATATTACCAAATTTCTTAAAATAAGCCATGAGGTTGTCTTTTTTAATGAAGAAAGGGATATCTGTAACTTGGATAGCCCGGAGATCTTCATTGGATCGGAGTTGGCGAGGGTCATGTGCATGAAAGATTAAGTTAGTGAACTCAGGATGGGTGGAACCAACGCACATATCGCGTGCTTCAGCTGTATGGAAGTGGATAACGAGGCGTTTGGCTTCACCAGATCCAGTCATACGTGCTTTTCCAGTAAACGACTCGTAAGTTTCTAAAAAAAGTTTATTAACAGCCTCAATAAGGGCTTTGTTGGTAGGGAATTTCTTAAGAGATTCAGGGGCAGCATTCGGTGCAGCCGCAGCCTGAAAATCTTCTCTGGTTATGGCGAGGGTCACCACTGGATCTGTAGTATGATCGTCATCTGGAGCACCATTGGTATCCAAATTGGGCGACGCGTTAGGGGGTTGTTGCAAGTCTTTGTTTAAAGGTGCATGCATGGACGCGTCCACATTTCCAGAAGACGTGACGTGACTGGGCGCAGTTGGCGCAGCAGATTTTTTCGGGGAGGAGGTCAAAGTATTTTCGCCAGAGATATTTTGTTGAGGAGAAGAGGAAAATCCATCTACTCCAACGTCAGCCGTCTGGTCATCGGCAACGTAGTCTTCTTCCATAGAATTTTCGGTAATCGTACGATTACGTTTCTGCTGGACAGTGTTTTCACCATCGGAGCTTGAGTTATCGGAGTTATTATTTTTTCGTTCTTGACGGGAAGCTTTCCTACTGTTAGGGTTATGACTTCCACGGCCTCTCTTGGCATAGTTACCAGACATAGTAGAGGGCTTCGAGTTGGGAATATATAAAATATAAAATTTTATTAGTAGTTTGTATTATTTTTTAAAAATAATAAAAAATATTTTTCGTCGAAAATTTCGTTTTTGAAAAATTCAGGAGAGAGTTACTACCTGTCTCTTATACACATCTAGATGTGTATAAGAGACAGGCCTGGAGAAAAGGCGGCAAGAGGTGATATTACCAAATTTCTTAAAATAAGCCATGAGGTTGTCTTTTTTAATGAAGAAAGGGATATCGGTAACTTGGATAGCCCGGAGATCTTCATTGGATCGGAGTTGGCGAGGGTCATGTGCATGAAAGATTAAGTCAGGGAACTCAGGATGGGTGGAACCAACGCACAAATCGCGTGCTTCAGCTGTATGGAAGTGGATAACGAGGCGTTTGGCTTCACCAGAGCCAGTCATACGTGCTTTTCCAGTAAACGACTCGTAAGTTTCTAAAAAAAGGTTATTAACAGCCTCAATAAGGGCTTTGTTGGTAGGGAATTTCTTAAGAGATTCAGGGGCAGCATTCGGTGCAGCCGCAGCCTGAAAATCTTCTCTGGTTATGGCGAGGGTCACCACTGGATCTGGAGTATGATCGTCATCTGGAGCACCATTGGTATCCAAATTGGGCGACGCGTTAGGGGGTTGTTGCAAGTCTTTGTTTAAAGGTGCATGCATGGACGCGTCCACATTTCCAGAAGACGCGACGTGACTGGGCGCAGTTGGCGCAGCAGATTTTTTCGGGGAGGAGGTCAAAGTATTTTCGCCAGAGATATTTTGTTGAGGAGAAGAGGAAAATCCATCTACTCCAACGTCAGCCGTCTGGTCATCGGCAACGTAGTCTTCTTCCATAGAATTTTCGGTAATCGTACGATTACGTTTCTGCTGGACAGTGTTTTCACCATCGGAGCTTGAGTTATCGGAGTTATTATTTTTTCGTTCTTGACGGGAAGCTTTCCTACTGTTAGGGTTATGACTTCCACGGCCTCTCTTGGCATAGTTACCAGACATAGTAGAGGGCTTCGAGTTGGGAATATATAAAATATAAAATTTTATTAGTAGTTTGTATTATTTTTTAAAAATAATAAAAAATATTTTTCGTCGAAAATTTCGTTTTTGAAAAATTCAGGAGAGAGTTCACTAGTCACTACTGGTCAAAAACCAATATATCGGGTAGCAGATATGTATTAGATATGTACCCAATATGTGTAGTATTAATGCAGAAAATCGGGTACCCAATATGTGTAAGATATGTGTAAATATATATATCGTCTACATATCATTTACATATCATATACATATCGGTACCTAATATGTATATGATATATATATTTACATATATCTTACACATATCAGGTACCCGATTTTCTGCATTAATACTACACATATCGGGTACATATCTGATACATATCTGCTACCCGATATATTGGTTTTTGACCAGTGAATATTCGGTCTGGTCTGGTCCGGTTTCGGATTATAAATCTAACCCAGATTGAATTAAACAGGTTGGAACCAACCCGGACTGATAAATATTTTTGCAATGGTTTATATTAAAACCGTTGCGATTATTTAATTATTAAATAAAAAAATGTTGCGTAATGTTTTTTTAACATATTATTTATACATGCCACCCAAATTATTTTGGACTGCCGTAATTATAAGTAAAATCCCAAATTCAATTATGGCATCCCAAATTATTTTGGCACTTTACATAGTAAATTATATATAAACTGAATGAATTATGGCATCCCAAATTATAATTATGGCATCCCAAAATAATTTGGGCAGCATGTATAGTACTTCAGATGCCCACTTAAGAGCTGAACCTAAAAAAAAAGTAAAAAAAGAACAGTTAATAAATTATTTTATAATAATAATAAAAATAAATAAATAAAAATAAAGATTTGTATTTACAAATCTTTAAAGTTTCTGTATTTAAAAAGCCCACCCGAAAGCTGAACCTAAAAAAAAAGTAAAAAAAGAACGGTTAGTAACCATTCATATAATAAAAAAATAAAAAAAGAAAGATTTGTACTTCGTACTTATAAATCTTAAAAATACTTTTTTTTCTATCCTTTAGAAGTCCATTTCCTTTTGTTTTCCTTTTTCGTTTTCATTTTACCTTTTCCTTTTATTTTACCATCTCCCTTTTGTTTTCTTTTTTCCTTTTATTTTTTACCCTTTTTCTTTCCCTTTCATTTTCTAAAATCTATAATAGAAAATATAAGAACAGTTAGTTAACTGTTCCATAAAATTAAAAAAACTAAGATTACAAATCTTAGTTTTTTTATTACTGTTTAATTTGTAGTTTTGACCAGCATTCCAGTTTCTATACAATAATCATAAAATTATCAAAGGGTAGGCAAAGGAATATTAAAATCAATAAAAAATTTTTTTTTTGTGTTTATGACAATGAATAAATGAATAAAAGTTTAAAAAAAAGAAAAAAAAAAAGAATACATAAGATTCTTTTAATATATGTAATGTGTAATGTGACTATTCAACCAATGTATAATTGTAGATTATGAGGATCCTGCTTACTTATAAGATAGGTCACCCTCAAGTTTAAGGTAAAAATTATATATAAAATTCTTTGCAGATCCTACTATAAAAGGAAATTTTATGTTACATTGTTATAATTTTTTTATTATAAATAAGCGGATCCTAGATTATGGTCGAACTTTTTAATTTTGAATATTCTTTTTTGACTAGTATTCTATAAATATTATATATGCCACCCAAATTATTTTAAACTGCCGTAATTATAAGTAAAATCCCAAATTCAATTATGGCATCCCAAATTATTTTGGCTCTTTACATAGTAAATTATATATAAACCGAATGAATTATGGCATCCCAAATTATAATTATGGCATCCCAAAATAATTTGGGTAGCATGTATAATAAATATAAACTATAATTATTTATAATTAAAAAAAAAAAATTTGATAGCTCAATTGTTAGGTCATAAAACATAATAACTGAGTTATCAGTTGTTTAATATCATATATTAATGGTAATATTGATAGCTTTGAGTAACAATATATAATGTGTTAAACTATACATTAAAGTTGAACAACGCATATATTAATATTATGTATTGGTATACTCAATATACGGGTGTTAATAATTATATTGAACAACTAGTTAGTATTGATCAACATGTACAGTATACTGGTGTGAATCAACACTTACTAAACTTCCTGATAAAATTAATTGTCTAAACTGTTTTTTTTTTAAAAAAAAAGATTTTCTAAACAAATAATGATTAGCCAATAAAATTTAATTAATCATGTGATAAGGGGTAACGATGACATTACACGTTTAATGAATAAATTCTCTCTTAATAAAAAATGTTGCAAAACATTTTTTATTATTAATTTATCAAAAAAAACATTTTGCAACATTTTTTTTTAACGATTTTAATAAAAAATGTTGCGAAACATTTTTTATTTTTAATTTAAAATAAAAAATACTGTTTCGCAACAGTTTTTTTACTATTTTAATAAAAAACGTTGCAAAATGTTTTTATTATTAATTTATTGAAAAAAATGTTTTGCAATGTTTTTTTAACGATTTTAATAAAAAATGTTGTGAAACGTTTTTATTATTAATTTATTGAAAAAAAATGTTTCGTAACGTTTTTTAATGATTTTAATAAAAATGTTGTAAAACGTTTTTTATTTACCATTTTGCAATAGTTTGAACTGGATTTGAACTGGATCTGTTCGAATTAATCCGATCTGATCTGATTTTAATGAATTGTTGATCGGATTTGATTCGATCTGAAATGGATCAAATTTTTTTAATTCGGATCGGATCACAGATCATAAAATATATGGTCTAATCTGATTCATCACGGATCAGATCTGCAGATACGAATCAGATCAGTTTTTTTTTCAGAATACTAGGTATAGAAAATTAGCATTATTAATATAAAATTTAATACATAAATAGTATACATGATGCTCAAATTATTTTGGACTGCCGTAATTATAAGTAAAATTCCAAATTCAATTACAGCATCCCAAATTATTTTGGTACTTACATAGTAAATTATATATAAACTAAATGAATTATGCCATTCCAAATTATAATTATGCTATCCCAAAATAATTTGGGCAGCATATATAATAAATAGAATAGAAACAAAAAGAAATAGGTGATATTTAGATCATATAATGGTAGTTAAATACTTAGATTAAATAATGGTAATTAGATTATATATTAATAAAAATTATAAATAATAGAAAAGATTAAAGGAATATTTAAAGCATAAAATAGATACCTAATACAAAAAAAAATATAGGTTATATAGTGGTATTTAGATTATATTATTTAGATTATATGGTGATACTATAATTTAGAATAAATAGAATACTGCTATATAATATAATTATATTACATAATGGTATCCCACTCCTATATAGCTACTATAATTATTTGATAGATAACAGTATACAAATAGAATTCTACTTAAGAATAATGAATAGTTATAAATTACTAATATTAGAGTAATATATAAGTGTAGTATTTTGTATATTTTTTATTATTTACTTTAATAAATTTATAAATGTACTATGATTTGTAAAAAAAAAAATATATAATTTTCAATATATAACTATAAAGAGAATTGGTTGTACAACCTATATTATTTAAAATTGGCAAAGTTTTATAAAATTTTGGTTTTATTTGTATAAAAATTGGTAAAAACAATTACTTTTATTTAAAAATAACTATTAAAATTAGTATGTCTAACTGAAATATCAGAATTTAATAATAATCAATAAATATTATACTAGAATTGTTGGCAAGGCTAGTTTGAAAGAATTAAAATCTGATTTTTCATTAAACTTGTAATATAAAAAGTAGTAAATACTAAATAAAGATAATATTTGATAATATTTTAAATTAAATATTAGGTTTGTTAATTATTACTAAAATATGCAAAAATCAACAAGGCTATATTGAAATTAGCAAAACTATTTTAAAAGGGTTAAAATCTGAATTTTTTTATTTGACCTGTAATTGGTACTGATTATCAATGATAATAAATAGCAAACTTCTTTTCTAAATAAATTGATAAATGCAAAAAGAATAAAATAAAATATAGCATCTTATTAATAAGTTAACAAATCTAATTGTATTAGTTTCCAGTAATCAGATTTAATGAATTTTATACCATTTGATTCATCTCACTAAGACAAATCTAATGGTGATAAAATCATTTTACAGAACAGCATGTCTAAAAATTATTTTAAGCCAAATTTGGACTAATTTGCCAAAATCAAAATGACTAGACAGGTCAGAATAGTTATCCAAGGTACATCGTATTGTCATGTATCTCTGTCTTGCGAAATCGTGGAAAACACCACGTCGAACCACTTGAAAGAGATTACATTATACACTAATTATATAATAAATATATTGTATATGTATAATTATGTGTCTTTGTTAAGCAGAAATTTATAGTAAATCAATTTTGAAATTATTTTTATTATTTAGCATGTAAATATTATTTATTCAAAATAAGAAAAGTATTCCATCGGCCGCATAAACAGTCTACAATTTGTTTATCTCTGAATTCCGTCGAATCCACTTGCACAAACAAATAGTTATCATTCAGTCTATCAGCACCTAAGCCTAATTGTCCATATTTTCCTATAGAAAATTCACATTCTTTAAGTTTTAAGTCGAGAAATAAACCCGTAGCAAATAATTCACATACCCCATCCACAACTCCACAATCTGTAATCATCTATGTCGGATTATAATGAATAAGTATTGTAAGTTTTATATTACGTAAAATTTTAAATTCTCTTTTATCTTTACCTGTAATAGCAACAGTATGCGCGCTCCCGCATGCCACCTTCAATACATTTAATTCAATGTCATTTTCACCACCAAACTCAATCAGTGAGGGTTCAGCACAATTCACCATTGAATCTTTACCCGAAGAGATCCCCAATCTCCCAAAGTGATTCCATCCAAAAGTATATAAATCACCCGAGTCTTTACAATTGTCAAGAAAAGTCGATGTCTCGCACAAGATATTTAAAAAGTAAAGTATTTTGATTATAATATGTACGTACCAGTAATTACTGCGGAATGAAATCCTCCGCAAGCGATTTCTTTAACTCTTAATCCCTGAAAAAATTCAATAGATGTAGGTTTTTCTAATGAGTTTGTAAATTCCCCATGTCCAAGCTGACCAAATCTTCCTGATCCCCAGCTAAAAACTTCACCGTCTCTTGTTAACGCCAAGGAATGATTCTCTCCACAAACAACGTTTGTGAAAAATGGATTTAAACTTCCGCTCTCATCAAAAGCAGTTATTTTCTTTGGTTTCTCATTATTTTTTAAATTAAATTGCCATAACTTTCCATCCACTTTTTTTTAACGATAAGTAAACGATATTTTTACTTATAGCAGTTAGTAATTAAAGTTTAAAAATTAAGAAACTGCCATATATTACGTACTTGTTACAGCAATTACATTACTTCCGGTCCACATTTGCGCAACATCAACGCACTTTGCAGGCAGGTTAAAAATCTTTTTGGAATGGCCATAAAGGTTTCCATTAATATCTAAATATCCCTGGATCCCATTGTCATCTCCGAAATATTTCATTATATTTTGTGCAGGAAAATGGGTAGGAGATATAATTTTATTTCTTGTATCATCAAACCCCCAAAACATCAACTTTCTTTCACTATTAGATAGAATAAATTTCGTTAAGCAATCATCAAGTATTGATTACAAAAACATTATGATTTTACCAACATGTTGTTTATGCCCAAAGTTGAGCTAATATTGGCCCAGATGATATCATCACACTGTGTGAACCCTGTAATATCACTTGGAACACTTATAATATCATCATTATTTGCCGGATTAGTTTGTTGAAAGGAATTATAACCGAACGAATAAATTTGCCGCATCTATGATTAATTCGTTAAATTTGTTAATATTATTAGAATTGAAAATATTCCCTTACAACAAGACGAGATGTTCTTATTACTCAGACTAAGAATTCATATCAGCATTTGTTAAACAAGCCCATCAGGTAATACATGCTAATTTTTATTAAACATCATAGAAACTAAAACACGGTAATCATTGTCAAGAAAAATTTATAATACCTAAAAATTTGGTTCAGAGATACCGAGCATCCAAAAAAAATTCGCTATTATGACATCTAACGTTAAACTAGCCGAATTCGGTTGGGGACCGTGTTCGGTCACGTGATTTTGCAATATTCATCAGGGTTGTGGTAGTACACCTGTACTAGCAAAATTCTAGTACGTACTGTACTAACAAAAAATTTCGTACAAGTACTAAGTACACTGTACTAATACAATTATTACTCTTTAGGATATAATTTAACCATTTTATGTATTTGTACTAAATTTTCAAGTACAAGTACAGTACTTAGTACTGTACTATACTGTACTAGTACTGTACTAGTACAATTCCCAACCCTGCCCTACATCACACCCATCAGTGTTTTCCCATTTATATGTCATGCCGCTATTTGTCACGTTTTGAAAACTTAAGGAACATTCCCTTTGCACCAGGTGTTCAAATGCAACGTAAGTATTCAAAAATTATCTAATGAAAAAAAATCAATTAATATATTTAATCGAATCGGCTTTAGACCCTCATATAGGCTATAGAGAATTAGAGATCGATCTTTGTATGCATTTATAAAATAAACAGTAGTAACAGGCCTGTTCATTTCCGGTCGGTTGGGTTTTTCGGTCGGGTTTCATTTGTTTTGGTTGGCCTGATCTTCGACAAAAATCAGAACAAAAAAAACTAAAAAATTGGGGTTTTTTTTGGTTCGAAAAATAAATAAAGCACCGCGGCGACCAATAAAAGTCATTTTGCTAATTATTACAAATTTTTATTTGTTTTCACGTGTAAGTCGAACTTAACTAACTTAACTGCAAACTTTCAACTCAATTTACAAAATAATTTTATTCGTAAATTTTGAGTAGTACAAAGTCGACCAAAAAATCAGCCGACCAGAAATGAACAGGGCTAACATTTACGGATTTTGAAACGGCTTTTATACCAATTTTTTTGTAGTTTGAGTTTCTATTTTCTAACTTTCTTTTCTATAGGACGGATTATTTAACTACAATAATAAAGTTTCGTAATATGAAATAATTAGACATACTGTAAATAAATTATTTTTTTAATTTAACTTCTTTATTTCTTCCTTTACTTTTAATAACTAAAAAATGAATGTACATTAATTTGACGTTTTAAGTTTCGAATATAGACAAGAATGTTTAACAATTACCGATAATGTTCAGGTTTAAATGGACCATCAACATTAACACCGAGGTATTTAGCTTGAACTGGAGTAAGTTTTGTGAGTTTAACCCCTAATTGTTCAAGATGAGCAGTAGCGACTTCTTCATCAAGTTTTTTTGGTAACATATGAATACCAAGTGGATAAGAAGCATTATCAGTCCATAGAGCAATTTGTGCTAACGCTTGATTTGTAAAGGAGTTACTCATTACGAAACTTGGATGCCCTGTGGCGCATCCTAAATTAACTAATCTACCTTCGGCAAGAATTATTATACGTCGGCCATTTTTCAAAGTATAACGATCAACTTGAGGTTTAATATTAACATGAGATACAGCATTTTGTTTTAACCAATTAACATCAATTTCAACATCGAAATGTCCAATACTTTAATCAAAAAAAAATAGTATGAACTCTTTTTTTTTAATAAAAACAAATTTACGGTCGGTAAATTACTTACTTGCATACAATAGCATCATCTTTCATTTGTTCAAAATGCTTGCCCACAATAATATCACGATTAGCTGTTGTAGTAACGAAAATATCGGCTTGGGCACATATATCTTCCATAGTTGTAACTTTATAACCTTCCACCGCCGCTTGTAAAGCATTAATCGGATCAATTTCAGTAATAACAACACGAGCACCAATTCCTCGAAGTGCTGCTGAACAGCCCTTACCGACATCACCATAACCTGCAACAACAGCTAATTTTCCAGCAATATGCACATCAGTGGCACGTTTAATACCATCAATTAAGGACTCTCGACATCCATAAAGATTGTCAAATTTCGTTTTTGTGACAGAATCATTTACACTGATAGCAGTAATTTTTAATTTTCCTTCCTTGAGCATCTTATATAATTGATGAGCACCAGTTGTTGTTTCTTCGGAAATGCCTTTAATATCTGATAATAATTGATTAAACATAAGCCTCACTTACTTTAATTTAGTACCATTTGAAAATAAATTTCCTATACCTTTTAAAAGTTCTGGATGCTTTTCATGGACCATCTTAGTTAATTCACTACCATCATCAAGTATCATATTAAGAGGTTTTCCATCCTTAAAAGCAAAAAGAGTTTTTTCAATACACCAATAAAATTCTTCTAGAGTTTCTCCTTTCCATGCGAAAACAGGTATACCCGTATCTGCAATGGCAGCTGCGGCTTGATCCTGTGTAGAAAATATATCACAAGAACTCCAAGCGACTTCGGCACCTAAATGAGTTAAAGTCTCTATCAAAACCGCGGTTTGAATAGTCATATGTAAACAACCGGCAATACGTGCCCCCATTAAAGGTTTGGTAGGTCCATATTTTTTTCTTAAAGTCATTAATCCTGGCATTTCATTTTCTGCGAGTTCAATTTCTTGTCGACCCCAAGCAGCAAAAGACATATCGGCTATACAAGACAAATTAATCAATTTTAATAATGAATTTTTTAATGCGCAAATATAAAATATTTAATCATGTCAATTACACCACCAATTTTGTAGTTAGCCATTTTTTTTTTCTTTTTTTTAAAAAAAAATTTCTTGATAACTTTTCTCTTGAGTCTAAGAGTGATATTTGTATATGCAATTTAACGTAATTTTATAAATATGAAGGTGTATCGTGGTATGCCTAAATAAGATATGGAAAGGATGTTCGAAATAAGCTACAGAGTAACATTTCCATTGGTGGAAAATAAGATAGTTTTTAGCTCAAGTTTAGGACAGTTTTACTAAATTTTTATTGTTTTTTTATAGAATGGCTTTCTCTTTTTCATCATGACACAGAAATTTTTAAATAGGTATATGAAGTATTTACCGCGCTAGTTACAGCTTTTTCATAAGTTACGGACATTCAGAATAAGGTAAACATTATATCGTTAGATTCGGACTTCGGAGCACTTGATCCGAGTACAGCGGAATGGTTTTAATCTCTACCGAGTTTTACCGAGTTACTTTCGGCGAGACAAGCCGAATAAAAGTGTCAGAGATTGTCAAAGTGACTATAAGTTTACAACGGGTCATAGCAACTATGTAAAACCCATAAATAAAAAGAGTTATCTATGTCCTTGCTGTATAAGGTTGTACAAAGTCTTGAATTTAAGACTTTTTTAACAATCACCGACCTGGTTTTTATAAGGAATTTATTTTTAAATTAATAATAACAACGATAACAACAATAATAAATTTTTATATTTCATGCTTATTTAATATTTCATGCTTATTTAATGAAATATGATTATACAATATTCTATTTAGGAAAAAAATGAAATAAAAAATAATGTAATAATTATTTGATTCTTAAGACAAAACTTTAACTATGTCCCTAGCAAGATTAATTGTTTCACAGATCGTATTACTAATTTCTTGTTCATCATAATGTAAACTTAAATTTTGGTCTATGTTTTCTACAGATCTCCAACGTTTATTTTTAAGGCTCGTTGTTTGTTGGGTAATTAATTTTCCATTTGAATCTTGCTTAATAGTAGCAATGGAAATTTGGAAAGACCCGTTGCTAATAAATATATAATAAAATTTTGGATATTTAAATCAAGATTTTGTACGATAAAGAAAAAAAAATAATTTTTTTTACTTACAAAAATCTTCTTTTTGACATAGTTTGTCTTACTTCAACCTTATCTAGTTTTCCATCAAAATCCTCAACACGAAACCACATTTCATCTCTCATTTTGAAAGAACGATTATATTGTATTTCATCAATAACTTTTGTGAGTTTACTCCCAACTTTCAGATCATAACAAGTTTTCAACAAAAATCTACAGTCTGGAGCTTCATTTCCAGAAATCAAATCCAAAATAGCTTAAAATAAAAATTAATTATTAAATACCAATTTTTAAAAAATTTCGTATTATAATAATGAACTTACCCATTCGATTGATGCTACGCACACATTTTGTTATTTTCCATGAACGATCATCTTCATTCCAATGCAACTTAAGTTTTCTTCTTGATGAATCTTGATCAAAATATATAGCAATACTCCCTTTGTCTTTGTTTTTAGAAGTTATTTCGCTTCTTTTATCTTCTTTAAAATTGAATCCTTTTTCAAGTAAAGACATTTTTTCCAAGATTTGAGGTGCGCTTTGTTGGAACGATGTACAATATTTTTTCCCCCATCTACGGAACTTAATCCATTCGCTGACATCAAAGTATTGCTTATCGACATTAGAGAATAGTTCCCGACCGAAAAAAAGATTTAAACGGACCTCTCTTCTTTCGGAATCAGTTGGATCAGCTTTTGAAAGTTGTGAATAGATATCATTTAAGCAACTATCCAATTTTTCAGATGTTGTGAATCCACCTCCTGAAGGAGAAATTTCAAGTTTTTGATCGAACGAATCTGCAAGGTCAAATTCAGAGTCATCTTTTGTCTCTTTCATTAATTGGACAGAATAATGTTCCTTATTTTTTGAAAAAACATCGATATCAACCCCCTCAAATTTAATAAATTGAAATTTAGCTTTATTAACATCAGCTATACTGTCCACTTCTAGGAGAGTATATCCAATTGTTGGTATAACTAGTGATTTTTCAATGAATGCTTTAATTAGGGTTTTAGCAGCTTCACATTGTTTCTTGTCACCATTAATAATTGCCAAGGGTCGTTCGCCTTTTTTAATACGGATTTTAGCACCAGATTCAGATCTAAAGTGTAAATTTATTTTTTTTAAAAAAAAATTTCAATAAATTTTTACAATTAATTTTTAATTAATTAATATTACTTACTCTATTTTACGAGTATTCATATATTTCACTTTTTCCGGAGGGATTGGTATAACAGTATTAGGATTTTTGGTAAAATGACTCATCTTTAGAAATGATTTAGAATTATTTAGAATTTTAAAAATTTTGAATCTCTTATCATCATCCCTTTAAATAAAGTTTTGAATCATTTAACACATGTATTTGAAAACCTGTTTTGGAATATGGTGATATGATAATTTTATAATAAATCAATATAAATAAACGCCCACGGAAAAGACGTTTTGTTTCTTAATATGGTAAAAAATTTTTATAAATCATTTCCAAGTTTACAATAACAAAAAAGCAACAAAAGCAGAAAACAAAAAGCAGAAAACAAAAAGCAGAAAACAAAAAGCAGAAAACAAAAGCAAGTTCGCAGCAGTGAAAATCTGAACAAATTTAGAAATATCTGCGTCATGATCATCGCATCGTATCATTGTTGATTGTCATCCTTTAGATCAGCATCTAATGCACCAGCTTCAATAGTATCATTAAAATTTTTCCAAAGTGAAGCAACATTTTCAAAATCTTTTCCAACTGCAACTATACTTTCCAAATTTTTATTAAGTATAGCCATATTAATGATAATTTGTTCTAGTCCCTGAAATTCGGCATAATAAAAAGTTATATTCAATTTAAAAATGAAAAATAAAATAAAATAATATTTACTTGCGCAATATCATTTATTAAGTTATCACGTTGTTTTTGGAAAGTTATTCTATCACCTGATTCCATATTCGAAATAGTGAGTCCCTTTTTTTAAGTCTTAAGTTTTATGAAAATACAATTTAGAAAGAAGTATAGGGAACAAGCGTGTCAGAAAAAGCGTGTTGAAAGCGCGTCAGTCAAAAATTATGGAAACTGATTTTAGGGGTTACGTGTCCTCATCAACCTTATATTTTATAGCTTCGGATCTTTCGGATCTTGTGTAACAAACAAGTGTTCAAAATTTTTTTATACTATCGGAGCAGATCGGAACGCTAATTAAGTTCTCTACATACCGCGAAGCAAATATTATCTTTTTGACCCTGCACGACATCCTTTTTTGACCCTACAATATAAAATAACACTAAGAGAGTCAAAAAGGTAATTTTTGCTACCGCGAAAGGGAGGATGGAATAATTGGGACATGTCATCAAGCGTACACTTCGGACTAATTACACTTTAGACTAATAAAAAAACTAAATTTCATATTTTCGAAGGAAATGACGAAGGAAATGTAGGTAAACATTTTAATACGCGTTTTTATATGTAGGTTTTGACATTATTTATAATAAAACAAAATATAAAACAAGATTGATTCTATTTTGCCAAGTAATCTATCTTCTATATATTAAAAAACACTGCAATCACGTGGGCGTTATGTTTAGATTAACCATATAAATAAGTCATTTGAATTGTGTAACCATACTCCTATTCGTCACTAATGTTACACAAGACCAAAAAAGGCAATTTTATTTCTGGCGAAAAACTGAAATTTTGGGTTACACCGGATTCCATAAAAGGAAATTGTCGGTTACGCAAATTTACAAAAAAGGAAATTCTTTGCAGATCTTTTAATTCTGGCCGGAATTACATATTAACTGTTGTCGTAGACAACAGGTGAACACTAGTATATTTAAAAATTAAACTAGCCGCTATTGTACTTTATTTGGGTACCCAATAACAATCCATTAGGAATACAATTAATTATCCCATCGGTATTATGTATACACCGATGGATTTTTTTGTAAATTATTCCACTGGTATAAAAAGTATAAAATCCATCAGTGTATATGCCATACACAATGAGATATACCTGTTATTCCCCAAGACATCGGTGAATATTTCAGTTATTCATTGATACCCATGGAATAACAAGTATATATTTCAATTATCTTTTTCTCAATACCAAAAATTGCTACAAGAAAATTTTCCAAAATAGTTAATCTACAACGTCTCAAATTTTCAAATACTCAGATAAATATTGCATCATACTATATAGTATAACAAATAATTTATTGAAGTGAAATATCCGGGAACTCCAGTATTATTTCCAAAAATACCCTTTTTTTAACTCAAAAAAACAATTAAAATGGAAAATTTCTTTGTGATATGGGTGCTTTGCAATAGAAAGGGACGAAACTACTAAAAAAAATAAAAAATGAGTTAATATAAAGTCTGAACAAATTATAGCATTTAGAATATTTTTGGCATATAAAAGAAAATTTGAATTTTTTCAGTAGTTTTGTCCTTTTTTACTGCAAAGCATCCATATGACAAATTTTCTTTGCAATATAACAAATTTTATAAATATAATAAAAATTTTTAATATTTCTTTAACATTTGCTTTCTTTCATTTATTTATTTTTAATTTGAAATATTTATATTACATAATTTTAAGTATCTATTGCTAAACAATTATCAAAGCTTTTGTAAAAGGTAAATAGATCGTTCTAATTGCCTATTTTAAAAAAAATAAGTATATCTAATCTAATACCAAATAAGAAATTTATTTTTTTAACTATTTATCATGTCTAAAAAAACCTATTCTGTAACTCATAATTCTTGCTTTAATTTAAGAATTTCCAACCTATCCTTCTCAAGTTTCAGCTCTTTCTCTTCTAGTTCTAATTTTTTCTCTCTCAAATAAATCATTTGTTTTTCTTTTTAAGATCATCATTTACAATTGATAATGTTAAAGTTTGGGTGACTTTCTTCAATTTATTTATTTTTTTTTCAATGCAGATGGTTCAACCTTATTAGAATAATTTCTTTTTACTATAAAAATAAAATAAAGTTAAAAATATAGTAAATAAAAATTTTTGCCAGCTTTTAAAATAATATTAACTGGATCTTGTATTGCTTGCTTTTCTCACGTTACAACTTTAAGATCTTTTCCAGCTTTTCTAATACCATATTAATCTTAAGTTTGACATGTAATAAAATTTCTATTATTATATTTTTTTAGTTTTAAATAATAATGATAAAATATTAATTAAATATAAATAAATAAATAAATAGTTAATATTTTACCTTAAAATTGTGATAACAATTTACCATCTTGATTTTCATTTGTATAGTATGATTCAGTCACATTGGTATTATCTGAAGTTTTGTACCAGATATCTTCACTGATAAAGGAATGTAAAATATTTACCGATACTTATATCCAAAGAATAATATAAAATGAAATTCAATTTAAAAAAATGCATAATTCAATCATTAACTTCAGTTATAAATAACTTTAAAAGGTTACAAGTCAAAATTTTTTTTCTGCTAGAAATTTTCTTTTTAACTGAACCAATAATTTTATTTTCTTAATCAGTTTCTCATTCAAAATGCAATCTGATGATTTTTGTGATTTATTTAAAGAAAGATATTTAAGTGATAATGGAGATAATAATATCTTAATTAATCTTATTTATTAATTATTATTAATTAATAAAAAATTTTATGTAAGCTTTCTTACTACTTCATGTTATTTATTCATATATACATTTTATTTTTTTACTTTCATTCTGTCACAATATACAGTATGTAGGTATGTACAATATAAATAAACATGTTTCTGATTCTTATTAAAGTGTATATAATATAATAGTAATACATTGCAAATCATTTATGTAAATACAACTATTGCTTGTGTGACAAATTAATTTTTATATATAATAAGAAATCAATTTTTCAAAATATTTTGAATTTTTTCCTTACAATATTTAGCAAAATAAAATTTAGCAGAATAGTATTTACTGATATAAATATTTGCTTCAGAAGGATGGAATATTTTTATTAGTATATTTTAACTTCTAAGTAGAATAATATTTATATAATGAATGTACAGGTTGAAAAGTAAAAAATCAGGCATTAATCAGTCACCAATCGGTCATCAATCAGGTAGCTGATTGGTAACTGATTGGTAACTAATTGGTGACTAATTGGTATTTTCGCCAAATACTGTCTCCAATCAGGTAGTTTGCTAACTTTTGATTCAGTGATCAGAAAAGGACAAAATATAGCTCATTGGAATCGTTCCAACAAGACGAATCTAATGGTAGTAAAATTGCATTTCTAGATTAATAATTAATAAAAAATTAAATAAAATATAAATGATATATTTTTATTTTTATATTCTACTTAATTTCTCATCAAGTATTAATTCTAGAAATGCAATTTTACTACTATTAAATTTATCTTGTTAAGACGATTCCAATAAGCTATATTTAATCCTTTTCTGATCACTGAATCAAAAGTTAGCAAACACGAACTTTTTTCTCAAACCAAAACTGTCTATATTAAATTTTATCACTATATACTGATTTTATTATAAATTTCACGATATTATATATAACGAAGTCTGATCATAAACCAGTCATATGTATTTATTTGCGATAAGCCGATTACCACCAATTTTTCACTTTTCGTTTACCAAATCTTTATATGATTGAGTGAAAAAAAACTATATGTATTATTCTTAATATCTTTATAAATATTAAAATCTTTAATATACATTCAGACATTCCACATGCCTTTATTTAATGTTCTGCACAAATTAAATTTTTTCTTTAAAAATTGATTTGATTTAAACTTAATTTGAATTTAATTCAACCTTCAAAAAATATTATTTTGAATTTAGTAATCCAATTTTAATGATCTTTTTTTTAATTGATAGCTTTTATTACTTTGATCAAAATAAAAAAAAAATCTTCAAAATTGGATTGTTAGATTAAAAGTTATTTATAAAATACATTTTTACCTTTTGGAATCAATAAGAGTTATACTGTATCATAAATTAATTTGTACAAAACACTATCCTTATTATTCTCAAACATAAAATTTTGGTGTAAAAATTTATTATATATTTTTCTACTTTGACTTCAACATAAATTCAAGCTTAAAGAAGATGTAAATAAAAAAATTGCAATACATTTAAAGTGAAATTGTTATGCTTTAACTTTTACTTAACCATTGTATAAACTGATTAAAGTTTTATTTCTTGTCTTGTACTTCCCTAAGAATATTTTTGATAATTTTATGAATTGAATATATGTTATTGAATTCCATTGCTTCTTTCATAATTTTTTTTCTAATATATTTAAAATGCTAAAAATTACCACTGAATTAAATTCCTATAGTAAAAAATTTGTCTGGTATAAAGTTTACTTTTTTTTTATAAGCAACTCTGAAGTATTTTTTCTTTTTACAGAAACAGACAGGAAATAATATTTCTTTATATACTTACCATCTTAAGACGAGATATACTACTTTTTATTTTAAGATAGAAATTGATTTAATTATATAATTTCTTCATTACATTCATAATTATCTTAACCATTTCAGTTCAGTATACTTTTTTTAAAAGTTTGAGACTATATCATATGTTTCATAATATTTAAAAATATAAAGAATTAAAGGTATTGCTAAATATTACCAGTGGTGATCGTCACCACATGTAAAATATTTTTTGAATTTTCAAAAATTTTTGACTGAGATATTATTCTAATTATAATATAAATATCATTACTATATTAAATTTATGGGTAGAACAAGTTTGCCTTAGATTATAAAGGCTGTTGTTTAGATAGTTTTTGAGAAAAATAGGAAAGTTTGATTTTATAAGCAAAATACAATTTTTTGTTTTAAAAAAGATT